TCAAGCGAGTCGGGGGGAGGAAGGGGGCGTTGCGGGGACAGGGGAGCAGTAGGGGGCAGCCAGCGAGGGGACGGGGAGCGACGTAGGGGGCATGTGCTTGAGGACAGGGGAGCAGTAGGGGGGCGTAGCGGGGACAGGGGAGCAGTAGGGGGGCGTAGCAGGGACAGGGGAGCAGTAGGGGGGCGTAGCCGGGACAGGGGAGCAGTAGGGCGGGGTGTTGGCCATGGTCTGTTGATATATGTAGAAGTAAACAAAACAAGAGAACATCAAGAGCCTTAGTTTACCTCGGGAGATGACAGAGATACGGTGTTTATACGTGGCAATAAAATAATGCATTCAGTGTGACAATCCCTTGATCTGTTGTGTGTTGTACTCTCAAGAGGTTCAAAGAATCCACCCAGCTTGACGCCTCGCTTGTGTGTGTGTGTGTGTGTTTGTGTGGTTCGTTCATCAGTATTATGTTAAATGTTGTAAGTAAAGCCCCTCCCCCTCCCCTCCTACCTACCTGGTCCAACCCTCTTTCTACCTCATCCAACCCTCCTTCCCTTATCCACCTCTCCCCTTAGTGACCAGATTGGAAATGTTTGTGTAGTCTTATCAGGTTCTGGCTTCTGATTGGTTGTTTGTGGTAAGTCTTATCAGGTTCTGGCTTCTGATTGGTTGTTTGTGGTAAGTCTTATCAGATTCTGACTTCTGATTGGTTGTTTGTGGTAAGTCTTATCAGGTTCTGGCTTCTGATTGGTTGTTTGTGGTAAGTCTTATCAGGTTTTGGCTTCTGATTGGTTCATATGATAACTGAGCCCTGATTGGTGAGGAGATAAAGTGTCCAATTATGGGTAAAAGTCTTTGATGAAATTTCTGCTCAAGTTTGATAGGAATGTCAATACTTTAGGTTAGGTTAGAGGTTAGAGGTTAGGTTAGAGGTTAGAGGTTAGAGGCTTGGTTTGGTTAGGTTAGGTTAGAGGTTAGGTTAGGTTAGGTTAGAGGTTAGGTTAGGTTAGGTTAGAGGTTAGAGGTTAGGTTAGAGGTTAGAGGTTAGGTTAGAGGTTAGGTTAGAGGTTAGAGGTTAGGTTTGGTTAGGTTTACAATTTTCCCTCAACTAAAGACGTGGAAATGAGATGACTAATTTCCTTAAAGTAAAGATCGACAGAATTTTTTTCCTGTACATAAAATTATTCTCCCCATTGAATTATTTTTACGTTCACTGCCCACTTCTCCATCGCTCTATAAGTACTCTTGACCTGTATTCAGTGCGTTCTCATATCCTGGGTCAAAGCTAACTCTCTCTCTCTCTCTCTCTCTCTCTCTCTCTCTCTCTCTCTCTTAACCTGACTTAATCAACAAGCTCTTTTCCTGCGCTTAACCCTTTGAGAACAATTGTTAAACCCTTTGAGGACGATGGTTCAACTCTTTGAGGGTGATGGTTTAACTCTTTGAGGGTGATGGTTTAACTAAATGTAACCTCACCAAACGTAAGTCAACGTAACCAAACGTATCCTAACCAAACCTCACCTAACTTAATTAAATTTAACTTCAACCACACCAAACCCAACCAAACATAAGAAAACATAACCTCACCTAACCATACCCAACCCAACTTAACCTAACCTAACCAAACCAAACCACATCGTTTCAGACAAAAATCACCCACATGTTAATACCCGAGGTGATATGACTGACCCCCACAGTATCTCAAGTCCTTCGGCAGTAGTTCTCACCCCCCGGCAGCGTTCAGCCAGTCGCCACCTCTTGAGTGTTTGCGTCCGGGCGGCAGTGGAGGAAGGACGTGTTTACTGTTTATCTTAGACCACTGATGAGCTCCTGCCGAGTTACTACTGCTGGGGAGGTCATAGTCACCACCCAGACCATTACGGGGAGCTGGTCTTGGTCTTATCATTCTGTGTGTGTGTGTATGTGTGTGTAACCTTCCGCCTTGTGTGTGTGTGCGTGTGTGTGTGTGTGTGTGTGTGTGTGTGTGTGTGTGTGTGTGTGTAACCTTCCGCCTTTGTGTGTGTGTGTGTGTGTGTGTGTGTGTGTGTGTGTTTAGATGAGGTTTCTCGTGGAATGCAGAGTGTGAGGGAGAAAGAGAGGAACAGACAGACAGAAAGAAAAAAAGAGAGGGAGCGAAAAACACTTGGGAAAAAAAAAGAGGGAAGAGTAAAGAGAAAATCGAAAGAGAATAATGAAAACGAAGTAGACAAAAAAAGAGAGAGAGATGAGAAGAGAAGAAAGTGGAGGAAAATGGCATTGCTTTCCTGCAGATTTTTAAAACAAGGGGATTCATACTGCTAGTTGCCTCCTGGTATTCCTCCCGAGGTTGCAAATTGACGACTGGAGCTGAGAATGTATTTTTTGGGGAGGGGCGAGGAGGGGAGGGAGGAGAAAGAGGTGGTTCGAGAGAGGCAGCCTGGCAGAGTTTAATTTGATGCCACACACACACACACACACACACACACACACACACACACACACACACCACACACACACACACACACACACACATACACACACCAAATTATTCATCAGACGCTACCCCTCCCCTTTATGCTGTCAGTGGAGGCAGCTGAACCATAAACATAAATATATTTTAATTATGTAGTATGTCCCTTCCCCATGCCTATTCCTTCTCTCATGCCCTATTCATCCCCTTCTACTCCATGCACTCTATTTATTCCCTCTCTCTCATGCCCCCTATTTATTATCTCTACCCCATACACTCAATTTCTTTCATTTCCTTCAAGCTCTCTATTTATCTGCTTTCCTGTTTCCCTGTTTATTACGTATTTTTCTATTCCCATAGTTATCTCCTCTTTCTTTAATTATTATATATTCTCGCTATTCTCACCTCTTTTGCACCTCTTCCTATTCTCCTATTTATCGTCTCCCCTCTTTCCCCCACTTCGTATATACAGCATCCCACTCTCTACTCTCTCCTCTCTCTCTCTCTCTCTCCTCTCTCCCCTCTTTCTCTCCCCTCTTCTCTCCCTCTTCTTCCCCCTCTTTCCCTCCTCTCCCCTTTCCCACTCTAACACCCCTCCCTCCCCATCCATCCTCAGATTATTCAAGGCATAGTTCTTCCCTCTTCCCACCTCCTAACTCCCCTTTTCCTTACCCTTCCTAATTAGTCCCCTCTTGTCCCTCCTCCCCCTCCCTCCCAGGTCTTAACTACTGAAATAACAATCCCTTCGCCTTTCTTCCCCCCCCCCACCCTAACTCCCCTCTCAACTCCTCCCTCACCCTCATCAATTCCCTCAGGTTATCATTACCATAGTATTACTCCCTCCCCACCCCACCCCACCCGCCCCTCCCCGCCCCGCCTACCCCCTGAATTACTACAGCATCCTACCTAACACCCCCTTATGCCTCTCCCCCGCCCCTCCCTCCCTACATTTTCTCCCTCTACTCTACCATCTTTCTCCCTTATTCCTCCTACTTCCCTCTTTTCCCTCACCCCCCAGAACCCTTAGCCCACCCCCTGATCATCCCCTACCCCTCTACCCATCCCCCTTAGCCATCACCCCCTCACCCTCCCAAAAGGCCCTTACACAAGTCACGTGCCCAAGTGAACGAGGTACAGTAGTCTCACACACCTGCCCCACCTGCCCCTCCCTGCCTGCCCCTCCCTACCCCCTCCATCCTGCTCCCTTCCCTCCCCCCGACACCCTCCCCCACCTGCCCTCCCCTACCTGCCCCCTCCCTACCCCCTACCTCCATCCTGCCCCCTTCCCCCGACACCCTCCCACCTGCCCCTCCCTGCCTGCCCCCTCCCCACCCCCTACCTCCATCCTGCTCCCTTCCCCCGACACCCTTTCCACCTGCCCCTCCCTACCTGCCCTCCCTACCCCCTACCATCCTGCTCCCTCTCCCCCCGACCCCTCCCACCTACCCCTCCCTACCTTCCTCCTTTAGACACTGTTAGTTAAGGTAGAAACCGTCTTTTGGTTACTGCCACCAGGGGAGGGGGTTGGGAGGGAGGAGGGAAAGGAGTAAGGAAAATAGGAATATGGAAAGGAGGTGAGAGGACAGGTAAGATGGTAGGAGGAAGTGAAGAGAAGAAGAGAGAGAAGAGCGAGGAGGGAAGAAAAAGAAGAAGGGAGGAGGAAGAAGAGAAAGAAAGGAGTTGGCGAGAGAGGCCGTGGAAGGGAGGTACAGTGGAGAGGGTGAGTGGGGAAGGAAGGAGAAAGGGAGAGAGGTGGGAAGGATTAGAAAGAGAGAGAGAAAAAGAGAGAGAGAGAGAGAGAGAGAGAGAGAGAGAGAGAGAGAGAGAGAGAGAGAATTTCCTGCAGTAGTTTCCTGGCTGTCCAATCGTGATATGTAGAATGTCTGTGTTGTGTCTGTGTCTGTCTGCATTGGAGTGTGAGGTCTGTGTGGTTTTATATACGGGTGTTATATATATTAGTATGTATGAGGTGTTGTGTGTGTGTGTGTGTGTGTGTGTGTGTGTGTGTGTGTGTGTGTGTGTGTGTGTGTGTGTGTGTGTGTGTGTGTGTGTGTGTGTGTGTGTGAGGTGTGTGTGTGTGTGTGTGTGTGTGTGTGTGTGTGTGTGTGGTGTGTGTGTGTGTGTGTGTGTGTGTGTGTGTGTGTGTGTGTGTGTGTGTGTGTGTGTGTGTGTGTGTGTGTGTGTGTGTGTGTGTGTGTGTGTGTGTGTGTGTGTGTGTGTGTGTGTGTGTGTGTGTGTGTGTGTGTGTGTGTGTGTGTGTGTGAGTGTGTGTGTGTGTGTGTGTGTGTGTGTGTGTGTGTGTGTGTGTGTGTGTGTGTGTCGTGTACGTGTGTGTGTGTGTGTGTGTGTGTGTGTGTGTGTGTATATTTGTTCAGAGTTAGGTTCACGACCACAGAAAACAAAAAGTGAATATGTTGTGAATAACGTTCCACTTTCCAACTCAACTTGACACCACTACCACCACCAACCACCACTACCACCACCACCACCACCACCACCACCACCACTACCACCATCACTGCCTCCACCACTACCACTACCACCACCACTACCACCATCACTGCTCCACCACTACCACTACCACCACCACCACTACACCTACAGTATCAAACACGTGATAATCATATTTTACACTTGACTTAGCAATTAGAACATACAAGGTGGAAGCAGTGTTTTATCTCTCTCTCTCTCTCTCTCTCTCTCTCTCTCTCTCTCTCTCACATTTCACTATATCACAAGTGTGGCACCGTAGCAATCATCAGAGAGCAACACACAAAACACTAACAGGTAAACACAAGAAGACAATAGATAACGTTACTAAATCATCACGTAATAAGAATCATTTTACAGGTGTGGTAATAGTGTTATAATTTTGGGGGGTTATAATACAGGTATCATCATCAAAGGAGATGTTGGATAAATATTACGATTTGATGATGGAATTAGATTAACTTTACATTACCTCACACCCCCACACCCTCCACCCCCATCCCCTTCCTCAAAACAGTTTCTTTTCACCTTCAAACTTAACTAAACTGACGCTAACTTACCTAATCTAAGCTAACTTGACCTAACATTACGCAAACCCAACCCTAACTCAAGTTAACCAAACGCTAACCTAAACTAACCTAAATCAAGTTTAGGTTAGTGAACCATAAACCTTGACACACACACACACACACACACTCACATACACACACACACACACATATACACCGTACAACACACACACACACACACACACACACACACCTGCTAAAAGTGATACAATACATTCGGTTTGTTCAGTTGAGGTTGCCACCATGCCTCTGTAGTATAGGACAGAGTAACACAGGTTTGGTCCGGAGATAAAAAGAAAACTTTGATCTCCCTTTTTAACAACAAGACCCATTGTGCTGGATTCTCCTGAGGTCACCACAGCATTTAGTTGAGAGAGTTTTGTTTTGTTGGTGAACCTGGCTGGCCGGAACAGCCCCCCCATGAGAGTTACTAGGCTGCAGCAGTTGCCCTAAGGATGAATAGTGTAACACGAGGTCACCACTGTTTCTTTAACTTTGAGGATGATGGTTTAAACCTTTGAGGCTGATGGTTTAACCCTTTGAGGATAATGGTTTAACCCTTTGAGGATAATGGTTTAACCCTTTGAGAATGATGGTTTAACCCTTTGAGGTCGATAGTTATGTTATGTTATGTTGTTATGTTCAGGTGATCCAGAACTAGCAATAAGAGAATAATGGTCAACTATAACAAGCCAAACTACCCAGAGAGTAAATCAACACTCTAAATACCATTGACTCAATTGACATCTTGCTGTCCAAGTCACATCACATACCAAACCGAATGACAGATTAATCACTGGAACAATACTTCGCTTTCTACTCTGGCTGTGAACATTTCAATGGACGGAAACCCTCCCAATGGAAATGACTATTGTTCGATGATAAACGCATTACATAAAAGTACTGCAGGGTTAACCAGTTCTAATTATTGTTTAGTTTAATAAAGATAAAAGCATTTGCGAGTTCGTTCACTACATCAGAGCGGGGGGGGATCGATTCATGGCTGATGAACACGACACTTCGAGAGACAATACTGGCAGGTAGGGTGACCAGGTAATAACTGACGTATTTTATATCTATGTAAAGTTCCCCTATTATTACCATACACCATACAAGACATATTATACACAGTGGAGGTACATACACATTGTTTATACTGAAGTTGTTGTGTGTCAGGTGTCAGATTTTTCACGCAGTTGTTTGATGAAAACTTTCCATATATACTGTATGTTAACTTATTTTTAATTTCCCTTGTACTAGAGTTAACTAGACTGTTGTAATATGAGATGTAATTGTTGAACGTCAAAGGCATTTTTTATTATATTTTAACTGCATATATATTATACAGTACGTGTATATATATAGTATATGGAAACACACATGCATCATAATAAAAATATTCATGTGTGTGTGTGTGTGTGTGTGTGTGTGTGTGTGTGTGTGTGTGTGTGTGTGTACTTCTAAATGTTTTATTTCCTGAGGTTACTGTACAATATTATAGAACACAATGAGACAAAACCATATCCCTTGTACGGCACCAGTTTCTTGTAATAAAGGAAGCGGCTAGGGTAGTTACTTATGTATTAGGATATTTAACTTTAAGGTAATCCAATGGTGACGAAGGTGTGGCTATTGGGAGAGGCTGGAGGATATGTTGAAAAAAAGTAGTAGTAATAGTAGTAGTAGTAGTAAAAATTATTATTAGTAGTAGTAGTAGCAGTAGCATCAATAGTAATAAAATCCGTAGCAGCAGTAGTAGTAGAAGTAGCAGTAGTAGGAACAAAAGTAGTAGCAGTAGTAAAAAAGCACACCGCGATCTTTTTATTCAGTTTACATCGGCAGAAGCAGGATGGCATGTGGACCGTGATAGCCGTACAGTAGAGTCCAGTACTAACAGGCTTGAACACCGCCATCCTGGAGGTGCTAAAATTACCAGTTGGTTGTGCAGAAGTGGACGGCATCGCGCAGTATTTGCCTTTGACACGACCATATCACTTGAGGTGGAAATTCCCATTGGCCAAACTCTGGATGTTATAGTGTTTAGTTGAACGAAAAGAGAACGAACAGTGAGTCTGTAACTTTATACCTAACCACACGGCAAGTCGAGATGAAATTTGGTTATAGAGAATATTGAATGGGTATTGTGTAGTTTGTTAGGCATGATTCTACAAAGTATATATGGAAACTACATATATATTTTTTTTACATAACTACACCGTATAACAAATAAGGTTATCATCTCACCCTACCAGTTTTATAATATAGAGATTAGTGAACAAGTTTTACATTATTATTACACCATGAAATTACTGTAACTATACACAGATAAATTTCTCAATACAGGATTTAAAATACTAACAAGTTTGGTTTATAAAAATATGAATATTCATTTGTTTTAGTAAAGGACAAACTAAAGGGCAACACAAAATATAAAAAAATAAAAGAATCAAATTAAAAACTCTATGATAAATTAACTACAGTATTATCATTTAACAAACGTTCACAAAGACACACAATTACTGAATTAATAAAAACACTAAGCGCCAATGTTTTGTTCATAAAAATATACAACACATTTCTGTACACAGTTAAAGGCAAACTAATAAAAAACAAAAATATATTCAATAAACTAATACACTCTCTATCAATTATGAGATCTGTACATTATTATCAAATGAATTAAAAGGTCAAACATTCAGCTAAAGTTTTGTTTTATAAAATTATGACAAAACACGACCACTTAACACATCAACTGAGGATAAAGTAATCAACAATATCGAGTCGTATGAAAGTCTACATTGTTGTCATTACTATATATATATAAACGTATTTCTAATTGTCTAACTATATTCTATGTACTGTATCAATGTATTACTGTATATATACATAAAAAACCATACTAGTATTATTTCTACTTTCGTCTGTGTGATTTGACGTAGTAGTAGTAGTAGTAGAAGTAGTAGTAGTAGAAGTAGTAGTAGTAGTAGTAGAAATAGTAGTAGTGATTCTCGATTCTATAAAATTCCCAGTGTGGTCATTCCAATGTTCTACAAAATTCCAACGTTTCTACATCATTCCAAATTTCTCTCGAGAGATTCCTAGGCGTATGAGAGGTCTCTGTGTCCCTGGGTTGCTATGTAATAAAAAGACATTGAATTCCTTACGAGTTCTCGGTAATACCAAAGAACGGAACGAGAACGAGACCTCGAGACCTCAGTAGTACCAAAGAACGAGAACGAGATAAAGATTGAGAGAGAGAGAGAGAGGGAGAGAGAGAGAGAGAGAGAGAGACAGACAGACAGACAGACAGACAGAGGCAGAGTGGCAGCGAGGTAAAGGAGGAGAGAGAGAGAGAGAGAGAGGAAAATACGGAGATACAGATAACAGACTTAGAGAGAAGACAAACGGAGAGAAACAAGAAAATAGAGACAACGAGAAAGAAGATAATGAGTAAAAGAGACAAAGAATGATAAAAGGAGAAAAAGAAACAGACGAAAAGAGAGTGACTGAGAGAATTAGAGGGAGTGAGAGAAGAATGGCCGGAGAGAAAGAGAGAGAGATGAATAGAGAGAGAGAGAGAGAGAGAGAGAGAGAGAGAGAGAGAGAGAGAGAGGCGGAGATATAGCTGTGAAAACAATGAAACAAAGTTAGCTGTGTGGGGGGTGTGCGTGTTGAGGTGAATTAAGCGCCGCTCTGGGCTTAACATACCTCCCCTTCCCTCTGGCCAATATACAGTATATATACTGTGCAACGAGTTATACATTTACAGCATATTATATAGTATTTCAGCTGAGAAAGTCAATTTATCTTGGTACAATGAGAATAAACTAATCTATCTGAATGACTAACCTTTTTGTGTGTGCGTGTCTTGCGGGTTGCTAGTAACTCAAGAGTCCTGGGATACATCAGGTCAGATATCAGGGAGTTCCTCAAGGTTGTTCTCCTCCTCTGTTGTATGTGGGTGGTTCTTTTTTTCCTAATTCATCAGGTACATGAGTCAGCTCTGTGAATACTAATCGTGTTTGACTGCATGCTTTGCTGGCTGGCTGACTGACTGTGTGTGGCAGACTGACTGAGTGCCTGACTGCCTGCTTGACTGGTTAACTGACTTTGTGTGACGTACTGACTGACTGACTACCTGATTAAGAGAACTTTGAGACCCCGTTGCGATGACCAAAAGTAATTCTTAAAAGAGGTTGCCCTTGTTGTAGGACTCGTCTCTCGTTCCCCCCTTCCTTATGCAGTAATCAGGCGTGAGGTGAAGTGTCCACGTGAATGAAAAATGAATAACTTCCAGACGATGTATAACTCAGCGACGTCACTTATTTCGACAGAGAGCGGAGGAGAGCTGCCCAGTAGACGGTGTTGAAGAGTACCACAAAGCCGGGCACCACGAACACCCTCACGATTTTCAAGAGAACCTCCGGAGGCACTTGATTCAACATCTTGGTGATCTTTAGTGATGGAGGACTGGCGATATCGTGTACTTGGTGGATCTTAGGCTTGACGACGGTGTGGCAGACGATGATGAAAAACAGGAGAAGGATACAATAGAGAAACCACATGTCGATCATCTTGACGTAGGCGGTGACGGGGAGGGAATCAGAGCTGTTGTTGAAGAGTGTGTAGAGCACGAGTAGGGTGGTCAGGCTCAGGGTCATGCGGTCCTGTAAAGGTATCATCAAGTTAGACTATACAGTACAGTACCGTGTTCAACCTCACAACATGTAATGGTACGTTCACATGTTCAGTGTTCACCGCCCCCAGTGTCAAGCCATGAACAAAATGCGAGTCAAAAACTACAAATAGAAACTATTTTGTAAAGCACTTGATCATTAATGTTTCCAAAATTAAGCTTCCTTACACAAAAAAGGTCCTGAAATCCAAACAAACAAGCAAGAAAGACAAACAAAATAAACAAAGAATCCACTGAGTTACCCCCCCTCACCCTGCGGAACCTGGAGGGGGAATAGGGGAATAAAAAGAAGGGGAGGGGGGATAGGGGGATACAAAGAAGGGGAGGGGGGATAGGGGAGGGGCGGTGTAGAATAACTGATAATATTACAAACCACCAACAAGAATTTCCTGACACTGATTTATAGTTGAGATCAGAGCGCTATCAACCCTTGTGTAGGTCAATTGTTGCCATTATTCACCCGCGTCTTTATAATAGTTACAATATTACCTGTTTTATATTCTTTGTGGTGGGGGAATAGAGACTGAAGAGAGAGAGAGGAGAGAGTAGGAGAGATTGAAGGGGAAAAGAGAGAGAGAGAGAGAGATAAAGAGAACACAAACAGAGAGAGAGGTAGGCTGACTCACCCCCTGGTCGGTCACACTGAGGAAGAGCGTGGCGTACCCAGTGGCCAGAAGCAGGTTGGTGGGGAAATAAAGGTTCATCATAATCACCGTCCACCGTCGACTCAGCTGAAACTCCACCTGACGAGAGAGTTAAAAATAATATATGTAATCACCATCGTCGACCAGTGAAAAGAGGAGAGGGATTTGATTATATCCAATCAGAAGAGGAGGAGCATTTAACTATCCAATCAGAAGAGGAGGCGAATTTGACTCTATCCAATCAGAAGAGGAGGAGCATTTAACTCTATCCAATGAGAAGAGGAGGCGAATTTGACTCATCCAATCAAAAGAGTAAGAGTATTTGACTATCCAATCAGAAGATGAGGAGAATTTAACTATCCAATCAGAAGAGGAAGTGGAAGATATACACTCGTCCAAATGAAAAGAAGATAAAGAAGGAGGACGAAGAGAGAAAAGGAAGAAAATGAGAAGGAAAAAGAAGAAGATAAGAAGAAAGAGGATATAATTTATGAGTGGTAAGGAAAATAATAATAATAATAATAATAATAATAATAATAATAATAATAATAATAATAATAATAATAATGATAATAATGATAATAATAATAATAATAATAATAATAATAATAATAATAATAATAATGATAATAATAATAATAATAATAATAATAATAATAATAATAATAATAATAATAATAATAATATAATAATAATAATAATAATAATAATAATAATACTACTAATAATAATAATAATAATAATAATAATAATAATAATAATAATAATAATAATAATAATAATAATAATAATAATAATAATAATAATAATAATAATAATAATCAGCCTGGAGGAAGTCTTTATACACACACACACACACACACACACAAACACACACACACACACAAACACACACGTCACCACAAGCGCAGACTTTTGAACCAGAGCTCAAGTCCCCTTCAGCGTTAAGTGCTGTTCTCGTGTCTAAATTAAAAGCTTATATATATATATATTTCTTCTTATCATCATCGGTGTGGGTTTGAGAGCAGCGAGAGCACTTTATAATATGCTCTTGTACCTGATAATAAAAATGGTCTCCAGATGATATTTCTGAATACTTCATGAAGTGCACACAGACACATATACATATACATATAAATACATGCAGAAAAAGAAACACACACACACACACACACACACACACACACACACACACACACACACACATATATATATACAAACACACAAAAAGATACACTCACACAAACATACGTACACGAACAAACCCACATTATATATACACACAATATACATAGTATACATAAGGGTTACACTAGCCTGTACCAGATTCTGTCTATTTTTAGGAATCTCGTTAAAAAACCGCCAACCAAAATTCACATCGTGTATTTTCTAGTGCGCCATAATTTCTGATAACAGTATGGGTTATGGTGCCGCCCATGCTACGCCTTTCATTAATAAACTATAGCAGAGTAGATTCTAAAACTTCACGTATATTTTCTTTTCGAAATCATAAAAAAAAATGATAATAATCCCGCTTTAAAACACCACACAAATCAAGAGTAGATAAAACGCATTGATTTTCATGTTATTTGTGTTCGGTTATTATCCTGTCCTAGTTAGCTATTACCTATTATAATTATCGAAGGGCATTACTATTATTTTTTCTCCTAACTTGGAAAAAATTATTCACTTGTTGTGATTTTGTTTTTATTATTGTACTGAACGTGACGTCATCATCTCCAAGGGGTACGTGACGTCATCATCTCCAAGGGGTTAAGTCGGCGTACACAAAGAGTTAAGGAGTTGTCACTACTGAGGTCACACGGTAACTCTTGGTGGCAGTGTTGTCAGCAAGGAGAGGACACACGGTAACTCTTGGTGGCAGTGTTGTCAGCAAGGAGAGGACACACGGTAACTCTTGGTGGCAGTGTCGCAGAGAGAGTTTTATCAGCTACCAACACAACTTTTCCAAACAAATCTGATAACCAGCAAATGTTGAGACCCACACAATGTTGGTGGTCCCATTTGGCCCAGGAGACAGACACAGATACACAGTGCAGATATACACAGACAGAGACTTGCTAAAAATTCCTTATTCGCCATAAAAAAGTAAACAATAAAACCAAAATGAACACTAATAATAATAATAATAATAATAATAATAATAACAATAATAATAACAATAATAACAACTAACAGACCACATTCATTATTATTAATATTCATGAATCAAATAATTATTACCGTCGTATCTGCCCACACAACAAGAGAGATAAACTCACTCTGCCGTACACACAAATCCTTTTAATATCAAATGGCAAACAGCGTGCTAAATAAATAGGCATTACCCGCTGATAGCTCATGAGGTACATGTCACTCATACTCTCCGGCCAGCAATAATAATAATGTTGCTGGCATATGGAGTAGAAACATCAGTACAGTAATTACACTACACAGTATCACCCACTAAACGTCACTCATAACACGCTGTGATATGATGATGATGATGATGATGATGATGATGATGATGATGATGATGATGATGTCTAATGAAGATGATGATGATAAGAATAAAAGTGATGATAAAAATAATAATAATAACTAATAATAATAATAATAATAATAATAATAATAATAATAATAATAATAATAATAATAATAATAATAATAATAATAATAATAATAATAATAATAATAATAATAATAATAATAATAATAATAATAATAATAACACTACAGTTGGGGTCACATAGTACAGTATACGCAAGAGCAACTTTACATAATAACATCCCGTTACAGAAACTCAGCTTTTCGTTAGTGACAGTGAGCGTGTAACAGCGGGAGTTGTATACAGTAGCTTCACGGCCCATATACATACATACATTGTATACCTGTGTATGTTCAACTGTATACCTGCACTGTCTTGAAGTATGTTGACCTGTATACCTACATAGCCAATATACATGCTGAGTCAACTGTAAACTTGTATAGCTGAATATCTATCTATCTATTTATCTATCTATCTATCTATCTATCTATCTATCTATCTATCTATCTATCTATCTATCTATCTATCTATCCTAGTCACACCACCACTGACGCCTATACTACCCCGGACCTCTGGTCAGACACTGCGGCTTCCAAGCCCTCACTTAATACTGTATTGCCCCCACTTCCCCTCAAGCCCCCTTCCCCTCCAAGACCCTTCCCCAAAGCCCCACTTCCCCCTCCAAGCCCCCTTCCTCAAGCCCCCACTTCCCCTCAAGCCCCCACTTCCCCCCCAAACCCCTCTTCCTCAGCCCCTTCCCTCCAAGACCCCTTCCCCCATTGCTTCCCCCTCCAAACCCCACTTCCCCCTCAGCCCCCTTCCCCCTCCAACCCCACTTCCCCCCAAGCTTCTTCCCCTCAAGCCCCACTTCCCCCTCAAGCCCCCACTTCATCAAGCCCTTTCCATTTACTTCCCTCAACCCCACTTCCCCCAAGCCCCTTCCTCCTCTGGTCCCTACTACCAGAAAAACAAAACTTCGTCAGACTAGAAATTCGGCATTATCCCCCCCCCCCTTGGCCTGGTCCTCCACCGGACGACGAGCAGAAAATCAGCAGCCAATCAGGTGTCTTAACGTAGCCGAGCAAGGAATGGCCAAGATAAAACGCAACTAAGAGGAGAAGGTGAAAAACAATAAGAGGAGGAGAGGGGGAGGAGGAAGAAGAGAGGGAAAGAAGAGGAAGGAAGGAAGAGACTCTTTAAAGTTATTACTATGCAAGAGAACGTTTCTGTCTCTTTGTTTTTCGATATAATACTCTCTATATTGTGTATTGTGTGTGTGTGTGTGTGTCCCTTATATTTATCTCTTATTCTTTCTCCGTTTTTCTTCTATATCTGTCATTCTCTGTCTGCACAAGTGAGAGATCTAGCAGTTCCTTCCTTAGAGAGATAAGTGTGTTGTATATGACCCCTAGCTCCATCTATATATTGTCTTCAGTGGGTCGTGTCTCTTTCGCCTCGTTTCATGACCTAACGGAGAATTTCCACATCAAAGAACATAATATATACACTGCATCGTGAAGAAGGCGGGCGCATTTTAACCCCCAATAGTGGAGTTCACATTATATATTCTCAATACTCGCTGCTCTTTCGTAGTGCACATCCTGATACACCTTTTGTCTGGGACTTTCATGAGCTTATAGCATCTACACAGTGTCCAGACAACTCGTCGAATGCACCAACACGGTAACCACAGTTTAATATAATGCTTTTGGGGCACAAGAGATCTCGCTGGGAGTCAATTAATAGTCGCTGAGGCTCTACGACAAGCGTATCTTTCCACCGCCTCGCCTTCCAGCCAGCCACAGTATGACTATAGAGTCACCCAGGCGGGATAACACACCTCGCTGGCCTGACACGTCTAGTCGGGAATGTCAGCTGATTTGGTGGATTTTATCACGTGTAACACTTGTCAACACTCACGCCTCATTGTTATCACGTACACCTTACTTCGTAGAATCTTTGATGACTAGGCTCTAGGCTATACAATTTTCACGTAAACTGCCGCTGGAATCACGTACTTTATTATGTCAGGACAATGTTTTGATATGCAGTCGCTGGTATCGTTACACCAAGGAATACCATGACACCAACATACCTGCAGTGCTCTCTCTCTATCTCACACACACACTGTAGGAATAGGAACGCATCACATGGAGTAAGATTCTCTCCTAATCGTTCAGTTCTCCTCTCTCTCTCAGCTCAACACGGCCACCAACACGATCGATGACCTTATTCTCAACTGTCTAAGAATGTTGATCACCACTCGTCAATATGATATGACCTAAATGCACTAAAACTTCTAGGGGGGGGGGGGGATAAGTATACTTGATTTAACTTACCAATGTGTAAATCTCTTTCTTATTGATTACCAGCAACTTAAGGACAACTCGTTTATGTACAGGAGTTCAGACATAAATCATATATTGAATAAATTACAAATCGACTCCTTAAGATGACAGAATATTGTAAACTATTTATCCTGACATTTTCTCCTGTGTTACTTTATAATATATTCTGTCGAGGTTAAACGCCGTGTATGATACTGTTGTAATTACATTTGTTTACGATTTTAACTTAAGGTAGTTCAAGAATGAATATTGATACGTCACTAACAGAGACAGACCCAGAATTGCTCTCTAGTTTTAATTAACTTAGAAAGTGCGAGTGGTTCCTGCAATCTCCCTTGAATACCGACTTGGGGTAGGAAGACCTTTCTGAAGGAGGGAGAACTTACCAAAAACATCTCTTCTGATTGTTACCACTTCAGTGTATCTCTGAGACCAAATTAAGTTCATGACGACATATATTTTTATCTGGAGAGCAAGACTGTAATGTTAACTCCACCTTAGTAAAAATAAGAAAGATTAAGAGGACCAGCCTGGAGGAGGAAGAACTTACCGACAAGACGCTGTACCGTGTGTCGTTGTCGCCCCTATGTGTTGCCACGACTTCGAACTTATTGACAACGAACAACGGGAGTTCTTCGAAGCCCATGTACTCCACTTGAGCGCCCTCCTGGGTGAAGGTGACGTTGTCCTGCCTAACAGAGGAGAGCTGGAGTAACACTGAGCACCGCTGCTTGTCGAATGGGTAGTAGAACACGTCGAAGTGGCAGGCGTAGGTTCCGCTGAGGAGGTAGACAGGTGATAACAAGAGGCAAGTCGTATTAGTGGTGTGTATTGTGTCGCCAGGTCCTAACAGATGAATGAGAGAGAGAGAGAGAGAGAGAGAAACCTTCCTCTCATATAAAAAACACCCGCTGCTACTATTCAAATTAAGATTACTCATAACTTGGATATACATAATAAAAAACACAATTTCATTCCCGTAGTTTAATAAGCGGCCGCACGCGTATGTAGTTACTGCAGCACAGGACATACAGACACCATTTGCAGTTCATCTTTTATTGCCGGTGTTTACATAGAAGCTGTATTATTTAACTCTGTCCTGTATCTCTTTGTTGAGCATTTCGTGGCTGGGTCTGTGAATTCCTTTGTACTTCTTATTGTTTCTTTATCAGTTTATCTCTCTAACTTCTCCTCTGTCTATTATCAGTATATATCTTTCTTCTTCACTTTCTTTAATAACATCCACTGATATATCTCCTATCTATATTGATCTATTTCTTTCTTTCTTCAGTTTTTTAATTCATCAACGGATCTCTCTCTCTCTCTCTCTCTCTCTCTCTCTCTCTCACTCTCTCTCTCTCTCTTTCTCTCTCTCTCTCTCTCATCCTTGTAAATTTCAGGACCTACCGATGCTACCGATATTTTTTTAACCCCATAATCATTCAAGAAATTAGATGAATGCGGTATACCCTTCGATAAAATTATAAATGAATAAATTAAAAAAAAAAATTACCCACAAATTGTCAATGGTCATTTTAGACTTTTACGATATAAAAAAATAAAAAAAGAGACGTGTAGGGGATAACCATTGTCATTCACCATTTCCATTGTCTGCCATTCAAACACGAAATATCACCATGAATATTGCTTTTAATAATCGGTGCAAATGTTTCGGTGAAATGTACGTGACGTGATCCGGCAAATAAACAAACTGGTGTTTTGATATTTGTAGAATACCGTTGTTGAGAGAGAGGTGTGAATTTGCGGCTGAAGTAATCGTGGAATACAACTGTGAAAATAAACAGAAATGGAATGCAATTGATGGGAGAAATTAGTTGAGGTTGCGATCGTGGAATGCAATATTGTAAAAAAAAGTAAAAATAAAAATTGTGGCTGGAGTAATATTGGAAGACCACTGTGTAAATAAATAGCAAAATATATATATCTTGTGAATAGCTTTACGTGTTATTAAAGAAATCACACCAAAAAAAAAAATACTGAAAGACTTGTGGTTTGTTTTAGTATCGAATACAACTACTGATAATAAACCATTTATGATCAGAGCAAAAACACAGTATTCAACACTACAAAAAAAAACAATAATTTGTGGTGGAATGCAATTAGTGTAAACAATGAACATATGCCTAAATAAATCATCAAATACATATAATTGAAAAAAGTTCTTTGTCGCTTAATTAAAAAGAATTATAATAATCAGTGGCTAAATAAACCATAAAATACAACACTATATGAAAAAAAATAATCTGAATTAATCCTTTGAGCTGTTTGTAAAAAAAAATAATAATTATGAACTAGCGGCTAAAAAAACAGAGCTGTTGCTAGTAGATTAAAACATAAAACACAATATCAAACTGCCACAACAATCAGATGCAGTTCAATGTTTTTGTAATTAGATAAACGAATTTGTTTTGTTTTTTCCTCATAACTCACTCGTCGACCAGCTGAGCGGCTCTACAGTAAGTTTCTGGTAAATATTATAACTGTTTATGCGACTCACTTTGCATTATGACATGGCTATAGAAGAGAACCTTGCCTCCTATTTCTTGATAGATAAACACTCAATATCTTACGTTGGAATTATATATTGTTTTCGCATGTCCAGTATACTGTACAATATATACCACTGGGTGTATTTTTTCTGTCACGTATCATACGATGTATAAATATACACTGCACAGCCGCACCCTTATTCACTACCTCCTAAGATGTCCCCACACACAACGCTTCCGTGACGCCTGCTGGACCACCACTCCACGACCCCCTGACGGAGACACGATGATCCTCCCCATATTGGCCAGATATTATGTAAATAACATTGATTATGTGTTAAAGGAATATCCTTCCTTCCTTAGGCTTTAGTAAGCCCCTTTATAATATTTATGCTGTATATACTTGTCACACTTGCCAGATGCTTCTGGTGTTATTGTACAGGGGTACCTAGTGACAGCACTAGGATCCCGCTTCCTCTATCAAGGAATATACAATTGAAATTGAAAAAAAATTGAAATTGCTGAACTCATACTCTCTCTCTCTCTCTCTCTCTCTCTCTCTCTCTCTCTCTCTCTCTCTCTCTCTCTCTCTCTCGTCATCTCTACATATAATACAAACTGTATTTTTTTATCTGTTCCTTATATAAATACACCCTACAATATATACAACCTTTATGTATTTGTTATTACTATGTGAATTTACTAAGTAACTACATTAATTAAACCGCTTAGTTTACCCAAGCTGTTCTTTATCCTGATGAGTAGTATGAGTCTATCCAGAATGAAATCATATGTAGTTTAACCGCACTTTTTTGTTTTTCATTTCAACCCCAAAATAACTCGTAAATTTAGATGAATGCTTTACATCCTCGATAAAATAACTAGAAAAAAATACCCCGCCAAGTCTATGATGATGGCCTTGTCTGTGTAAACATGTACATAGTGTATATACCACGATCCAATAAACAGAGTGCGTTGTATGACATTTTCTCTTGACATTTCCATTGCATCGTCATTCAAATAAAAATATTACCATAAACAGTGTATGTGTGTGTGTGTGTGTGTGTGTGTGTGTGTGTGTGTGTGTGTGTGTGTGTGTGTGTGTGTGTGTGTGTGTGTGTGTGTGTGTGTGTGTGTGTGTGTGTGTGTGTGTGTGTGTGTGTGTGTGTGTGTGTGTGTGTGTGTGTGTGTGTGTCTGTGTGTGTCTGTGTGTGTGTGTGTGTGTTTCTAATAATCGGTGCAAATGTTTCAATGAAATCTACATGACATGATCCGGTAAATAAACAGACAAGTGATTTTGTATTTGTCGAATACAATTTCTATGTAAAAAAAAAAAGAGGAGAAAATATTGTTGAAGTAATCATGGAAAGCATTTGTGTAAATACCTAGTGGTGGAATACTATTGATGTGGGAGTATTACTTGTGGCCAGAGTAATGGTGGAATGTAACTACGGGGATGCAAGTCGAGTAGAGCAATAGACCAGAACAATGAATTGATGGTCCAAAAATCACAACATACAATATCTGTTGCCAATGGATGGGTTACTAAACAAAGTGTAGAACAGTTATTGTGATTTTATTTTTATTTTCTGACAAAACTGTATGTGTGTGTGTGTGTGTGTGTGTGTGTGTGTGTGTGTGTGTGTGTGTGTGTGTGTGTGTGTGTGTGTGTGTAGTTAAGAGATTCGTGAAATACAATGACTGTAAACATTGGATTTATTGAGATTAATCATATATTTTATTACAGAAAGTTTAGAGTTCAATATCACAAAATCATAGAGTCTGCAGGCCATATAAATCATGAAATGCAATACGCTGAAAAGAAGAAAAGAAACGTTTGCTGTGAAGTAATCCTCCGTTGATAGACTGGGAACACTAAAACAACAAGAAACTCGACAGACAGATAACAAGGGATAAAATATCAGGTACCGTACACAGCGATTCTCCCAATTAAGACCCAAAATTACCTGTTTACCCTGTGGTTCCGATTCAGCACATCATTACATGTCTTTAAACGGTAGCGTAATTGAAAGAGCATATCGTTATACCTCGACATAATGACGCGATTGACCCATTTTCACCGACTAATCTCAGCGCCGATGGTAACCAAATGACTAGCTGTACGACCAGTCTCGCTTAATGCTTGACGGGGACTGCGGGTACACGGTATGTGCTGTGCTGTGCTGAAATGATGTGTTTTTTTTATCTCTCTCCTATCAGTACACAATATATACAGCAATAAAGTATCTGTTTACTCTCTCGCGTGAATATACGATACATACTGTGTCGTGTTATCTCATGATATACAATATTAACTGTATAATGATATATTTTTTTTGTCTTTCATTTTATTTAATTATATACAGTACTGGTAATATAATCTGTAGTATATTTTATGTCTTTATCGCGTGGATATTGCCTGAAGTATATTATTTTGTCATGATATATATAGACGTGGAGTGTATTGCCTTTGAAATATATCTCTCTCTCTCTCTCTCTCTCTCTCTCTCTCTCTCTCTCTCTCTCTCAGCTCGCCTACAAAATCACACCACAATATTAGTCTACCTAGTCGACAGCCGTGAACTTTAATCCAATCTCACTGAAATCATATATCCTACTTTTAATTATGATTATAAATTTCCGAGTGTGATTATAAAAAAAATGAGAGTAACAACTAAAATGACAATATTTATAGTAATGATAAGTTATATGATTTGCAAATTAAAAAAATCCGAACGTCACATTTACAAATTTTTATAGACAAGTAAAAAAAAAAAATATGTATATAGAGTTTATGTTTGGGAGTAAATGATTCTAGTCTCAAAACCTATTATGATAATCTTTAAGTTTTCGTCGCTTGGTGTTTTTTTATTTATCGTTCTCTTAAACCTTGACGTAAGTGCTAGACTTTCATCCGCTCGCTGCCGGAGTTTAGTCGTCGATTACGGCAAATTTGGTCTCAACTTAGAACATCTTTTCATTTTTCAATACGAATTTGTAGCTAATGAGTGTCTTTCGTATCCTTATTAAATACATTTGTTTAACTTCAAAATGAATTTATTATTATTTTTATCCATAATGTCTTTTTTTTTTCATTATTGATTTTGTTTTATTCAATTTTGTATCAATTATCGTTAGCAAGGGTTTCTCTACCGCCATTACCGTTCATCAATAATTCTCGGTAACACACAATTTTCTAGTTTAAAATAGAAAAAATATATATTTATTCAGTTTTAACGATATTACCTAAAGTTTGATCTAATTTAGAGGATTCGCTGAAAGCCCACTATTACTGAAAACCAATAATACATTATAACATCAAACTGCAGCGTATGTGTGGGTTTGGGGTACAGTACATATCCGCTTTATAAGTGATATCCCAACCACACAAACGATTTACGCTAATTATAACGGTGTAATTGAAAACAGCTCTTATATCCACCTGTCAAAATATTTACCTATTCCTTATTATTTTGTTTGTCATTGATTTTTTATCCCTGTGAAGCAAGTGTCAATGACTGCTTGAGGGCGCGTTCACACTGAGGCAAGAATCGGACATATACTGTATACTGACGCAAATTGTCCAACAGTTTCGTCTGACATAATTCGGTGCGGCGGCAGTGATATTAATGCAACGGGTTATCCCTTGTACGTTTTTTCAGACTCAACTGTTGGACAATTTGCGTCAGTGTATAGTCCGATCCCGGCCTCAGTGTGAACGCGCCCTTACACAGTCATGATTACGTCTTTTTTCGTCAGCCCAGTTCGTATTATTCAGGCAACTGGCCCAACCTGAGTAGGATTTAGAACGGTGTACGTTTCTTGTTTGAAAGCTGTCGGTTGTACAAAACCAGAATTGGTGAACGTTAAACCCTGGCAACTAAGACACCTAACCAACAACTACAACAACAACTTTTAAACAAGGAGAAGAAATCTTTGAAGTCTATGTGTACAGTACACGAGTTTTACCAGAAGCGTGGCAATATAACATAACACTGCTTTAAAGTGCTTACCGTGGCAATATAACATAACACTGCTTTAAAGTGCTTACCACAAAATGAGGTTGACATCGAGTGCTCAATTTAACTTCACAAGATCGAGTTGTCAATAATACAAAGTAGAGAAACTTATTCTATAGCAGTTTTATGGACCACTTAATACCTTATACCATCGACCCAAGATTATACTCGTGGTAGGTCTGGGACGAATAAATGATTTGTGACAGAGAGAGAACACTGTTTAGATCCATCCAGTGTGAGAACAGGAGATGCAGTGCTTTGTCCAGCTGGTCTTTCTCACGCACGGTTAGCTTTAGCTCTTCTCCTCCTCCACAGCTGGTGCTCCTCATGCTAACAACATTACACATTAAACTCAGGTGCCGGTAACGGTGTATCTAACTCACCATGCAACACCGTCATCACAAAAATGTCAGACTTGATTTCAAACTTCATTAAACAACTCTTTTTACGTGTGTGTGCATGTGTGTGTGTGTGTGTGTGTAAATCATTTTCACTTATATAGAGAATTCAGTTGAGAACAATTTTACTGAACGTAAATATGAATAAATAAAAAGTTATGGTGTATACAAGATGTTTTTTCTTTCTTCAGTAAGCCCACACAAATACGATTACACAATAAACCACTTTCAAAACTTGATATTCAGGTAAACCTAAAACTGTGTAAGTCATTCTACTTTTTTGGGGGTAAAGTTCATTAAAAAATATACGTACAATTTTCAGGGTTAACTGATAAATAAAGAAGATAGCATTAAGAAAATATTTTCGTGGATAATGTTTCAGCAAATCGATAGATCACAGGAACAATAGTGAGCATTGTGAATATTTAAATGTAGCTAATTATAAGTTAGGTTAGGTTAGGTTAGGTTTGGGACTTTTCTTGGCGATTTTTTTCTTCAGAATTTGTCCTACATTCATATACAATACAGTACATTGCTTACCTATAATGCTGTATCTGCACCAGTGATGTCGACTCCCCCGAGTACACTGATTCTGTAAAAAATTAATTTCTTGTTACCAATTTTTTTTACGAAATGAGATTGTGATCGATATTTAGTTTACATGTAATTAGCTAAACATTAGTTGTAGTCAAAACGGGAAAAGTAGACAAAAACCTTTTATATCTCTCTCTCTCTACCTCTCAGAGTTGACCATGCGTATAGAGCGACTTTATATCGATACAACAAACATTAAAGACATCACTTCATAAAGCCAGGAGGATTTCGTTGATCTTACCCATTTTAATATCATTGAATTCTGTAGGAAGTGGATCTCCGGACTTCTCTAGGTAGAGTCTCTCTTTCAACAACCTCACATTACCGTCATGTACATTAGGAAATTCCAGGATAGGTCTCCAGATGCCGTCTATTTCCTCTTGCCCCAGCCTGTTCCACTCCCTCGTGTTCTTCAGGTTGAGGTACTTTAGCCGAGTGTCCTTCCAGATAATCATCAGGTTAAGTTCTACGCTGACGATTCTCTTGATGTCATTAATGTCTGTGAACCGTAGAATTTGAACCAAGGACTTAAGTTCCACGGGTCTTCCTTCTACCAGGGAGTCCGGTGGTCTCTCGACACGGTAGCTTTCCGGCCTCATCACAAGGTGGCACCCGTTCTCGTCGGAGAGATCAGCGCAGTCGTCTTGGGAATTACAGCGTTGTTCTTTGGTAATACAGTCTCCATTAGCACACGTATACTCTGATTTGTGGCAGGGCGAGAGGCTGAGCTCGAATTTAGAATTTTGGGGGAGGTCACACACAGGGTTGTTGACTATCCAAACTTTTCGACCTACTGGATAGTCACTCACTGAAGTCAGTACCAAACTGGCTAATGTTTCATTGTTTTTTGTGTCAAATAATACCCATGATCCCGGGTCCGTCATGTACATCATTAATCCGTAGAAGCCATGAAAGAACGGCCTACCGCTGATATATCCAAGGATTTCAAAAGAACTCTCAGCCTCCGTCCTGAAGCACATGCCTCTAAGCCTCAGAGGAGGATTCTGCCTCTTCGTGCAGGAGATACACGACAGGATGCCGAGTCCACATGCTTCGTCGCTCCACAAACCAGTAAACACAGACATATATACACAGTTTTGAATGGTCAATCCATCAGGCTGACCAGATTCGAACGATAAATCCGTCAAGACTGAGTTGTCAGAAGCCTTTTGCCAAACTCCTTCTTCTTGTTCGTCATCTATTCCAATCCACATGTGGTAGGTGTTCGTACAGGAGTCCAGGAACTGTAGGGAGGTATTGTATAAGTCTTTATTCTTCCTCGGAGACTCGGGAGCAAAAAGAGCATAGCCCATTCTGTAGCACTCCATTCTTGCTTCGTATATATCAAACATCATCGGTAAGACAACAAAATCACTTTCGGGAACACAGAGTTCAGCAAGAGGCACTATATCGAGAGTTGTTCCTACTTCCTCCAAGACATCTACGTCTGAGGAGAAAACATTCCCTTCGCCATAGATCCTACAAGAGGCAATGTCCTGTATTTCCGTGTCGCTAATTTTCTTGTTCCAGATGTTAACTTGCGCCATGTGCCCGCGGAAGATCTGCGTCCTGTCGAAGCCTCCCCCAACGGCGTCTTGTTCCATACCGAAACAAAGGGTGCTGTTGAGGGGTAACAAACCGTCCTCAGATATGAGAGGTCCACTCGCTTTCTCCTCGCCGTTAACGAAGGCTCGGTAGAAGCCTTGGGAGAAAATGTGGCAATGGTGCTCCCAGCGGTGAAGTACCAGGTCCGTGTGGAAGTCCGTCAAGCCAGGTTGTCCCACGTCGTGGATGTACACGTCAAGTTTGGAGCCAATGCGCACTGGAAGAAAATGTGTCTTGAGTATCTTAAGTAAATTATCTATCACGATTCATATTATCCAGCGGAATCTGATAACATTCAGATTAATTATTATAACCCTCCTGTATATAACACAATCTTCCTATATCTCAAATAAAATAATGTAAACTGACCATACTGAAATAATTTATAATAATTATGAGAAACTTTCACGGTTTATTAAGCTTTAATATGGTATACGCAGTATGTCTAATTAGTTCCATCACTGATTTCAGAACAGAAACAAGGAAAGGAGCTAATGAAGATAGTGAATATATGAAGTTAATCAATGAAGATAATTAATATTGCTTTCAAGGTTTTATGACAAAGATATAAATGAAAAAATTATAAAACCAAGATATTTTGTAGTTATCTTCAAGCATCCAACTGTATTTATTGTTAATGATAAAATGTTACTACGGGTATACTCTCTCTCTCTCTCTCTCTCTCTCTCTCTCTCTCTCTTTCTCTCTCTCTCTCTCTCCAGCCTGACTTACTTATAACTAGGGAGTCAACATTGTCGCTTGATACGGCGAAGGAGATATACGCCTCGATGTGCTCCAGACTAGAGGCCTTAGCACGGTAGCAGAGGCTCAGGTCCCTGGTGTCTGCAAAGCCCTGCAGGGAAGGAATAAAGATGATAATGTAATAGTGCCATAATTTTTGGACTTTCAAGCCGGTCTAGGGACAGCCTGCACCTGTGTCCTTATGGAGGAGTTACCAAAGGGTCTGTGTCACAACCTATAGTTTACTGATATACTTGTACTGTAAATACACAGAAAATAGTGAAGTAACTTGTTATACTTAAGCGCCGAAACTCACTTTTTTGGTGAGGTTAAAGCGGACGAAGATATCATTCCTTGAAGGCTGCCACATGTCCGCCTGCAGTCCAAACACCTTCACCTCATCACCCACTCTGTCTCCCGCTGTTATGGTGATAGTGGGTGAGACAATTAGTATACATTTTAGGACATATAATAATGAATTATATTTAGGTTGTAAGAGATGACTGTCTGAAATAGAGAAATGTTATTGTTGTTATGTGTATTTAGGGATCACCTCAAGACTTGCCCCTCTTGATGATTAAGCACCGTAACGCTAGCCTAACCTAACCTAACATAACCTAACATAACCTACCCTAACCTAACCTACCCTAACATAACCTACCCTAACCTAACCTAATCCCCAGTTAGCGTTTGGGTGTTTAATCATCAGGTGAAATAAGCTGGAGGCAAACTTTAATGTGATCCGTATTTACTTATTATAATTCTGGAGGATTATCAGGCTTTTCAGTCTTATAGATGACGCTGTATCACGAAACGAAAAAATATCTTTGTATAACTGTACCTGTAACCTAACTTCACTTACTCAAAGAACTAACATTTTTAGTTGGAAGGTTTGATACATTTAATACATATGAATCAATTATAAAATATTACAAAAGCGGATTTGCATAATAATAAAAGTAATTTTGCTCGTGTAGCCTTCACTATGTAAGTTCAGCAGATGGGATTATTATTTTTTTTTATGTTCCGTTAGTTAGAGTGTAAAGGATTAGCCTTTCGTATCATCTCCTGAAGGATTAAGTCTTGTTCATGGTAATTATTCCTTTAAAGCGTTGTGGTCATTTACTGTGCTAAGTGTTTCATTAAGGTTATTATTCGTAAAGTTGAAAAGGTCCATCTAGGCTCAAGAGTACAGTGCAGTCAACTCTATCTCCCTGCCTCAGTTATATATATATTACATCAATATCAGTTTTCCTATTGTAAATATTGTAGATCATATTTTAGAACAATGTCAATTTAAAGCTGCCGGTATTGTTGAAGTTAATTTAATAGTGTTCAATATAGGGCACAGCAGAGTGTATAGGAGTTACACCCTTAACTAATATCATATGTTATAGATACGGTAATTGCATCTTTTGACGAGTGTGCACTATAATATCCAGGTTCACTATTGTAGGAATATCACGCTTTTCAACAGTATGCAGCAGGATATAACATAAAACACTTAATAATAACGTGTGACACTGTAATTAAAAGCCTTTTATTACGTGGTATAGGAAATGATTAAGTAAATAAGTAATTAAATCAGACTATTACTAAGTCAGAGAGAATGTACAAATTTACGTTATATAAAGATACACGAAAAAAAATAGAAAAAAAAAGCAGAAGAGGAAAAATAAAAGCAAATGGTCCAGGGAGGGTCGGTGAGGCTGGGGTGGAGACAGAATTAATTGCAAGGTAGAAATAATGGTATGGGTGTGTGGGACGAGTTGTGGCGGGTGGGCGGGCAAGGTGGTGGGAAAAAACACCTACTTTTATTTGTATTTTGTGCTCTTATCTAGTCTTTAAAATTGAATCTTGAACCACACCTTCTGTACACACACACACACACACACACACACACACACACACACACACACACACACACACACACACACACACACACATGATTTTAGGATAAATTTAAATTACATATTGTGTTTTGGAATTTGATAATAAGGGAATTTTTTATTGATTTATTCTCTGTGTATAAATTATTCTCTTCATGAAATAACAAGTCAGAAAACCTTTTGTGAATATTACAAAAAAAAAATTGTTTGTTAATTTCGTAAAGTAAGCTTGTGAGACTGAGGTTCCTTTGTTTAGCAAGATGTGAGGAAAACTGTGTAATATTCTCTCTCGACATAAATATAAAGAAAATATTAATCTCTTCTCATACGATTGTTAATGAAATGGGCTAATTCCGCAAGGATGGCCCCGTACCCCCTCTAAAAAACTAATAATAACAATACGAAAATAAATACGTCCATAGCCTCACAAAAACTAGCAAGGGTTTGTCGTAGTTCTTCTTTCTGGTGCATAAACTACCAGCAGGACAACGCCAACGTATTAAATTTTCCAAGAAACTTAACAGAAAGGAAATGTTTCAGAATTATTTAGGGAGTCAAACTACGGTATGTTCCTGGTAACAGAGCTTCATATAAATGTAGTTCATATTTGTTCAAGCAGTTAAAATATATTACTGTTGATACAATCGAATGGCAATATATATAATGACCTGGTCCCTCCCCGACCACGTCACTGATCCTTTGGCCATACGCCGCTTAAAGAAATTTGCCATATCAGATTTTATCAGGAACGAACCAACTTTATAAATTATCAGTTTTTTAATATACTAGATATGCATTTATCTTTATTTTTAATTGTTGATGACTACTGTGTTTAATAACTTAGTATAAGCACTGAGAGACCATGGTTAATAAGACAGCAATACGGTGACACATCTCATGGAGCACACTACAGACAATGGCACCGAGGAAAAAAGTTTATTCTATTTCATCCGATTTTGTTGCTGTGTTGCATTTCGACTCCCTGAGCAATTCAGAACAATTTCTTTATGGTAATTCTCTTGTAAATTTAATAAGCTGGCGGAGCAGCACTGGAGGTTTAACTTGTTTAGTATTTAGATACTTCAACAGCCAGAGTTATTAGGCGCCTTTCACAAAGTTTATTTCAACATTTAGCTTCGCCCCCCAAATATATCTATATCTCTAGGTTAGGGAATCATGTGTCTTTAAGGGAGTCAACGACTGGATCATATGAAGGGTAGCCACCCCATTTATTTGACCTGAATATTAACCATCCTAACCTAACCCCACAGGTACCGTCAGGGTGGTTAATCTTCAGGTGAAATAAGCAGGAGTGGTTAATCTCCAGGTGATCCGATATTCTTCCAGCGTTCAGGTTTTGGGAGGTTGCTGGCCGTCAGAGCGGGTGATAATGCTTCCAAGTTTATAATGTATGTAGACTATAAACTTGCAACTTCTTTTGTTTATTAAAAGAAGCCTCTTAATGGTTGGTAATTTGCATACGAAACAAGGTCATGCCCCCAGTGGAAGAAATTTGAAGATGGTGTCAAGACATATGCTAGTGTAGACATGAACTACGAATAAAATTATGGCATATTTTAGCTTTGAAACTCCGCCTCTAACACTAATGAAAGAAGAAAATCAATACGACTTACGTAACTAAAACTCTTAAGTGAGTTTTTAATACTGAGCTTACCTGAAAATCTCTAAAAATAATTATATGTTTTCTTTACAAACTACAGGTATATTATGATATTCAGACTGGAAAATTTATTTTTGTCATCAATTGGTCTCAGCAACACAGAGGACTCCAAGTTTCTATAATGTCAAACCACCAGATTATCGTGAATAATAAATATATAATCAATGCACACGACATCCATGAAGTCCCAATCGAATTTCTTTACAGTATCTAATTCTCCTGTTGCTGCGGCTGATCAGGGGGAACGAGCTGCCTGTAACTATAATTCTCACAAACGATTTTCGGAATCCAACTACAGTAGCAGCAGCCTTAAGGGTGTCCTGCGATATAATAATAACGATCAACACACGCGATGTTTGCGAGGAAATTCAAGGATATGAAACTGATTATAAATTCAATATTACGTCTTTGTGTTTCTCCTTACGCGGCGGGTGAAAATGAGCTCTGGTACGGAGAGCAACAGTCCCAGCAGCGCATGTTGGACAAAGTTAGGGAACTGGCTCCAGCGAGCAATACTTTTACAAATGTTTAACAAGCAGCCAGGCGAGATATAAAAGAATAAAAAATAAAAAACTAGAGATGTGAAGCTCTACTATTTAGAATTATTTTATATATTTTTAATTTGTGTTGTTTACATTGTTGGTTGGTAAGGAGGAAGAGAAAGGTCTACCAAAAATTAAATATATAACACAGGACGCTTAAATATAATTTTCGATTAAACACAAATCCGGGTAGTGACACGGCCATCCCCATCCCTTGCAGTACCCTCCAGCACCTCTTTGGTTCACTAAAAGCCTCTGGAGTGGTCAATCAAGCCTCGTCGAGCCAACAGTGAACTGCATGACATATGACTACATTTTAATATACGGATCTTCTCATATAATATGGCACCGTAAGTAGTGAGGGGCGATATATACTGTAACCTAATGCAGTAACTGTGCGATTGTGTTTAACGAAGCAGCTGAAGAAACGTGTAAATAAAGTCAATGAATTCATGAACAATTTCCGTGAAGGATTTTAAGGAATAGGGAGTGTTAGTTAGTCTCCCCCTGAGAGCCCCATTACTTACTCTGGTGTTTACGTTAACGATCTGATCGAGTCTGCCTCCAAATTTTTACTTTATTTTCCTTTACAGAAGTTCAAGGAATTCAGTTGTTAATGTATTTAGCAATTACCTACAGTAATCCTCTGGACATATTCTTTTTTACTTTTGTTTTTCTATCGTTGCACATCATATGAACATACTAGTTGGTCTGTTCTGTGTTACTTTATCGTGAGCTTTATTGTCCAGTGTTCTTAAAACTCCCTGAGAGACCTTCGATATTTGAGTTAATAAGTCCGCTCAATAGTGAAAGATCGGAGCACATGCAACTGGTCAGCGGAGTCTAAGATATTAATGTCTCTTCTTGAATGTGTGTTTTCTTCAGACATAATTTACGCTATGGATTACTAACAGGTCTCTAAGGGCCTCATTGTGTAGCCTCACAATATAACCAACAATATGTCCCGGTAAACAATATAAGTAGTTTATATTAGCATCAACAGTCACGCATATTGTGGCTTTTCCTTACACCTAACCTTACTAACACTATTCCTTCAGTGGCAATATTGAATACCTAAATTTTGTTGACATTCTCGATTATCTGAAGAACGAGTGTCGGTACTGTGAATACATGTGAGGAATTTAGACAATGTAATGCTATTGACGATATTGATTAGTCGATATCTATTGTGTGTACACTTGGGAATATACGTAGATTGCTTTTAATTCAATATCTTTCATCCATACCCTGAGCCGAATAGACCTACTAGACATGGGTACAATTTCACCCGCGGGACTAATGT